ATGAACTCGTTTAGTTCGTTGATTCTGAATTTTTAATTTAAGTTGAGATGTAATTTTATGTGAGAGTTTTTTATTATAATAAAAAAGTTAAATGTGACTGTTTCTGAGAGCTTTTTACTGTAATAAAACTCAAATTTTAAATTCAAATTGATGAAATTAACGATGCCTATATAACAATCTCGCTATATTAAAAGAGATAAAATTCTTTTTCAATAGTGCTTCTAAGAAGCACTCGTGGCACTCCTGGACATATGTTGAAATTGTGAATTTGTTTTGGGAACTTAAATTTTGAGCATCATTTGGAAATGTTGAATGGGTTGGGCAACTTTTCCCTAGCTAAACTTAATATAACTGTTCGGTTAGGGTTTGTAATCCGGGTAGCGATACGATTACACAATTTAAAATCCGCATAAAGTTAACGGGTTTGGGTTTACTATAAATGAGTTTGGGTCATAATCAGGTTGATACGATTAATATGATTAATAAATGGGTTAGGTTAGGATTGACCTCCTAACACGAAATGACACAATTAACTATATGTGTCATCTACAATCTAATGATATGTGATGTAACATGAAAGTTTATTTGACATATTAAATAAAAATAATGTGAATTTTAATATTTGTAGGTAAAATTCATTTATTTTTCTTAAAAAAAAAGATAAATTGACTAATAAACATGTTAAACGTGTCATGATTGGGTTAAATAAGTCATTATTATATTAGTTACTTATTCAATATATTAATTTAAACAGGTCATACGGGTTGACACGATTAAAATGATTAATAAATAGGATCGTGTTTGGGTTGATATTTTTAACACGTTTAATAAACAAGTTGTGTTTGAGTTGATATTTTCTAACACGATTAATTAATGGATTACCACGAACACAATCCACTAATACAAATTGTCACTCCTACGTTCAGCAATGTTCCACGACTGTGACCAGATTATAGGAGGCTTGGCCTTGGGTAGTGTCGCTATGGTAGAGGACTTTGTCGACGTTTTGTTTTGTCGAATGCGGATATGGGTTAATGTCAGAGATAAGTTTGAATTCAAGAGGTTTATTTTTTATTTTTAGTTAATCAGGGTATAATTTAGTGTGAGAGAGACCCTATAAACACTCGCTCAGATTTCATACTGACCTTTAGATCACCCCTATGGGCAAAAGAGAAATAAGACTTTCTATGATATAACTTTCTTAATGATTATATTAAAGAAAATGATTAATTATAAAAATTTTCTCTGAATTATTATCTTTATAACACTTTATCTTCAATCTTCAAATGTGATTTATGTTTCCCCCATTATGAATTACTAACAAAAATGCTCTTTCTGTTAGTTTTTCAACAAAAAAATGGATCATATTCATAATTGAGGTATTTTGGTAATCCTACATTTTCTTTAAAAAAAATACTACAAGTTAAAAATTAAAACTTTCTAAATAATTTTCTTGTAATTAATTAATTAGATGAGTAAAATTAAAAATGTTGTCTATTATTTTATTTTATTTATTATCATATTAAATAAATTAAATATTTTTAAAAAATATAAATTTAGAAATACTGTCATCAAACTGTTTGGCAACAATTAATATTTGTATGACATGTGGTGATTCCGTTAGGAATACTAACAGAAAGAGCATTTTTGCTAACAATTTATAATTCAAAAAGAATAAATATTACATTTTAAATATCGATAGGTAAAATGTTACACGAGTCATATTTTAAGTTGAGTTTTTATAATTAATCCGAAAGAAAATGATATTCACGTTATATTCTACACTAGGGGACGATCCTGCAGTTGTTGAGAGGGTTTTTTTTTCATTTTTCATTTTTTTTTTAAAGAAAATCGTTCACCCAATTATGAAAATTTGCCTATAACTGGTCCTCTAGTTGTCACTTGTGGGGTCCGTAAAATTGAATATCCTATGGATATATTTATTTATCATTCCTTAGTCAATGTGTGTCCTTTTCTTTTCATATTTAATGTGCACTATTATTTATGAGATATCAAAGTTAATTCGAGTATCATTCAAAAGAAAAAAAAAATAAAAACTCCAGTTTAATTTGTTGATTTGAATCTTATTAATATACTAATTATTTTTTTTAGTAATATACTAATTAATTATTTATAAACTAATAAATATGATTAAATTACTAACATTGTAATTATTTATATACTGATTTCTAATGACCTTTTTTAGTTATTTAGCATATTATTTTATTATGTATATAATTTAATTATTATTGTAATAATTAAGGATAATATATTCATTATTACTATTTTTTATCCTTTCTTTTTTCTTTCTTTATGTTTTTTCCGATTATTTGTATAACTGTTGCTTTAAAAGTTTTGACTAGTGTAAATAAAAGTCTCAATATTAAAGCTAAAATAAAGCTCCGAGGCAAAGCCAAAGAAAGATTTTGGACTTGTTCTTTTACACCTAAACTCAAAAAATATTTGGACGCAAGTTACAACTTTATTTAAATTCATGTTTTTTTTTGTAAAATTTGAGTTTTAACTTGAGTTTGAGGCTAAAATCTAAGTTCAAATTTTCTCTTCAACTCAAGTTCATAAACTCAAACTTAAGTTAATAAATATTATTTTTTTTATTTTTAAAAACGCCATAACTTTTTCATTTTAATTCCGATTGAGATGATTTTTTTTTTCTATGTATTCACAACGAAGAGACGAATAAAACCCCACTCATATAATACCCTATTAAAATTTTTCATCACCATTGAGTTTTTATTAAAATACTATTCAAATATAAATTTAAGTTTTGACCCACCAAAATATAAACTCAAAAAGATTCTCATATCAAATTATAACTCAAATGTACACAACTAAATAAAAACTCAAAGTACAACTTCAACTCAAATTATAATTCAAATTCAACTCAAGATCTACACTCAAGTCACCATAACTCAAAAATACAGACGAACAAGCCTTTTTTTTTTCTTTTTTGAGATGCTTAAAAAGGGTTTAAAACCGAGGTTTTGTGAGTATTAATGACTCAAAATATTGGGATCTTTTATAAAAAAAATATTAAAAAGCGTTTTTAGAGAGAGAAAATTAGAAAGAGAGGCTCTGTAAGAACATAGAGAGAGCACATTCTGGGGTCGGTGGTCCGGCGTTTAGGCAGGCCGTCGACCTCCAAAGTTCTTTGAGAAGATCATAATGGTCACCGGCGTTAAGTTCATACCGACAGAAGTGTCGGTAGTCACTTGAATGGAGTCATTCAAGGGGGAAGAAGTCGTCGTTCTTTTATTGTCGATTTAGGACACGTGCACCACGGGATTCAATTAAAAGACCAGGAACTAGATTGCAGAAGGGAGGCCAGGAAGGTAGACCGTTGCGTGTGGTAGTTACCGCCCGTCAACAACGACGCGTGAGATCCATGTGCTGCTGTATTTCTAACACTTTCGTCACCGTTTCGGGTGTTTGTTTTTCAGTGCCGCTCCTACCATGCTTCACATATCTTTGGCATTGAGAGGCTTGGTCTTGCTGGATTGATCTTTTAGTATATTTGTAAAATTTTCACAGTTTTTTTTTTTTTTTTTTGTTTATGTTAGTGTTGTAATAATGGCAATGGTTTTCTCGTCTACTGGTATTTTGTATCAACTAGCGCTCTTAGTCTATTTGTGTGGCTTAGGTCCTCTCCGTTGTTGGGTTAAGGGTGCATTTGTGTTTTCTAGTCATATGAGTGACACTCATTTTTATGGCTTTAGATTTGTCCTGTATCCTATCACTTTAGTGGCTTTTCGATAAATTCTCATTATCAGAAAATATTGGGATCTTTTTATTTTACAAATGTTACCCATCAAAATATTTACTTTTCGTTTGATTGGAGGGTTAAAGGGGTTTGAGTTCAGATTTAGGTTCAAACCAGTGTTTATTTGTAAAAAGTAAAAAACAGTTTGAACCTCTTAATGTGACATTTAAACCTTCAAAATAAAAATATTTCTAAACGCAATTCCCCTTGGGTTCTTAAGGTTTAAACCCATATTCAACCCCGTAGTTCAAAACCGACATGGTTCAAACGTACTCTGATTTGAACCACTTTACCAACCGAACCCTTACTTTTGCACTGATTTAAAAATACAAGAGAAATTTTTCGTATTTATGAGGGAAAAGTTAAAAACTGTCTTTTTATAAAAATGATATTTCTATTATTGACCTCTTTAATCATAAATATCCTTTATTAAAATAGATTTAATCTAAACAATAAACATAAAGAGAATAATGAATAAAGGGGGCAATATTGAATATTGATTTCACATTAAATTTTAAAAATTAATTATAAAAATTTCGTAATAAAAAGTATAAAAATAAAATTTGAATGAAAACACAAGAAATATTTGCGAGATTGTTTCATGCATAAAAAACAATTAAACAAAAAGTAAAATATGATTGATATTGAAATGAACTACAAAACATGGGGGCAAAGGCAAGAGGGTCGTAAACTTTTACCCAAACCTTTTTTTTATTATATTTTTCTTCTAGTGGGGGTAAGTAGTAATTTTATCCCTATTTTTCTGTAAAATTAAATTTATTAGTCGAAATTTAAAGAGACATTTAGTTCATGAATTAGAATCATGATATTAGAACTGTTTTTTTACGTATATTTTTTATAAGAAAAAATATTTTAATAAATCATAAACTATGATTCGAATCAAAGCATAAATTCACTTACTAAACGTCACTAAATTCTAAATTTTATTTTTTATTTTTTTATTTTTCTTCCGATAGAAAAAAAAAAAAAGAACACATAAAAAGGGGTCAAACAAGTAATTGGCCGTCCAGGCGTCCCCAGCACAAAGACGATAAAGCTAAGCACTGACAGGGACTAATTATTGCTACGTCCATTGACTAATAAAAAACGAAAAATCAACAAAAAAGAAAAGAAAAAGAAAAAAAATTGAAAGAAAAAGAAAAAAGAAAAAACACACAAAAAACTTGTGTCATAGATTAGCTCAATCAAATACTCTGCAAGACTGACTGTAACTGCAAATTTCTCTCTCTCTCTCTCTCTCTCTCTCTCTCTCTCATCTTTCTCTCTCCTCTTGTTCTTCATCTCTCTCTCTCTCTCTCTAACTGCTGACTGGTCAGCTTGGTAGCCAGCTAACTTCCATTGCTTTACCGAAGGTTTTGGTTTTTTTTTTTTTTTCCTCGAATCCCTCTAAACGACGCTTTTACGGCCTTTGGTTTTTCTATCGTCTTTCTCTCTCTCTCTCTCTCTCTTTTTCCGATTCATTTCATTTTCGTCCTCCAACAATACAAAACAAAAGGTACTTTTCTTCGCTCTCTCTTTACCTTTTGATTGATTTCTGTCTTTGGCGAAGCTTAGATTTCGTCGCTCCGGAATCTTTCAGCCTTAAATTCGATACCTATCTGCTTTTTGTTGCTTGTTTTTTGGCTTTAAATTGACCGCGAATTTTCCGAGTTTCGATTCCTGTTTGGTTGTTGGGAAAGAGGAAGAAAACCTGTGTGGGAATCGAATTTGAATTCAAGGTGGAATTGGTACTCGAGAAACTGCGCAACTGTTGAGATTCTGAAACTGAAAGAAAAGAAAAAAATTATTTCCATTTTTTTTGTGAATATATAATTCTGCGTTTGATTCGTATTTTTGGAATAAAAAAGTCTATAAATTTGATAAGTTTTGTACCTCAAGATTTGGTATGGGTTAGGTCATCTTTTTTTGGTTTTAGGTTCCGTTTTCAGATGATATTGAAAGTGAAAACTAGTAAATTTAATTCAACGCCAAACTTTATATTCAAATATTGCCACAGTTTTTCTAGTTATTTTGACTGTGATATTCTAGAAGGATACTTCTGAAGTTAATTGAGAAGACAAAAATGAAGCTATAGCCAAACTTCCGCAGGTTTAACATCAGCTTTAACTTCAATTAGTTACTATTTTAGGTTTTAAATTTTTAAAATTTTAAATTATGAATAGTTGGTTCTTATATTGTTACTAAGTGGATAGTTAAGTGAGTAAATGTTTTATTGTGGCTCAATGCTTGAAAAAATGTTCCAAGCTCTTTGCCTCAATTTTTTTGTATCTGATGTAATTTCTGCTGTATATCTGAAGTATTTATGTTTCAGATGCTGGGAAATTTTTGCAGAAATGGCAATGATTCATATGTTTCTTGATCCTCACGGGTTAAAGTCCAACGATCTGCGGGTGTGATGTCGTTGAAGATGGAAGTGATCTTTGTAATTCTGATCTTAGCTTGGCTGCGTTCTTTTGTATTGTCCGATTTTCAAGGTACTGGATACGAAACCGTGATAAGATTGCTTAACGCAGGCTAAAGTAAACTAAACATACAGTATTCACATAGAAAAAAGCTTTGGAACAACAAGAAGGCATCCACAATGAAGTGACTTAGTTTTAGCCTTGTTGGGGCTGGATGGGGTTTCAAACATATGAAGCATCTTGTTTAGTCCGTGATGTTAGTTTTCATATACAGTAGGCATAAACTGAAACTTGTGTCCTGTGAATGTGACAAGGATGAAAATTTTTGTTTTTCTTATACAGACATTGTCTACTTCTACTTTTGTTCTTTTTCTTTCTCGCATGGTGGGTCTCTTGAGGTTTCCATGTAGATAGAATTCGTTTTAAATCATTACTTTTCATTGTTCTTTTTGAGGTTTATGTACAGGTACGGGGTAGAAACCTCTGCATGTTTGTTTGAGTGATGCAAACATTTGTTTTTTCTGCTTCAGGAGACGCGCTCAATTCATTGAAAAGTTCGCTGAATGCTTCAAGCAATCAGCTCAAGGACTGGAATCCCAACCAAGTTAACCCATGCACCTGGTCCAATGTTAACTGTGATTCTAATAATAATGTGGTAGCCGTGTAAGATATTCTTCTATGTGCTTCTCTCTTTTCCTCTTTTTCAGTAGTGTTTTGCTCGTATGTGTTGTTGCTAGTTATATGCTACCTTCTTGGCTTGTGAAGAACTAAATATTAGCTCACAAACTTGAATTACCTAAAATGGTCTGTGCTTTCCCAAGCGCCTCAAGTGCCAAACTGTGCTTAGTTTGATTGTTATTTGCAGATCATTGTCGAATATGGGATTTTCTGGAACCTTGTCCCCTAAAGTTGGAGCCTTGAAGACGCTCAAAATTCTGTAAGTACAAATGACTGCAGCGGAATTGTGTCCATCCTATTTTTGTCTATATTTAAGACTATCACTAGATATGACGAACAATGTTATATTATTTTGTATTATGTGAAGTGTTCCACTCTTTTTTTTATTTTATTTTAAATTTTATATATTTTATATTACGTGCTCATTATTGAATTTATGTGCATCACAAAACATGTAAATGATGCAACTTGAAGGTGATGCTGACTGATAGAGGCTATTAGCAATACATACTTATTGATGCAAGAACTTTGCAGTATTTGTTTCCCTACTTTCTTTCAATTCTTGAATTTGCATACCATTTATGTATGACCCTTATGTCTATCAGATGTATATATGCAGGTCATTGCAAGGAAATGGTATAACTGGCGAGATACCAAAAGATTTTGGAAATCTAGTAAATTTAGGGAACTTGAATTTGGAGAATAATAATTTAAGAGGTCCAATACCATCGTCTCTTGGTGATTTGAAGAAACTTCAATTCTTGTAAGTGGTACCATACGTGTTATAAGTTTTCGTGTTTGTCTAATGACTTTTGCATGTTTGATAATTTTTTCTTTGACAATCTTTCTATCATGCAAGCAGGATTTTGAGTCAAAATAATCTGAATGGGACAATCCCCGAGTCACTTTCTAGCCTTCAGAGCTTGATTACTCTGTATGATATCATATCTATAAGAAACCTTAACTTATGTATTCTTTTATTATATTATTATTATTATTATTGTTGTTGTTGTTATTATTTTACTTGAGTTCTTATCAAAGAGAATTGTCGGGCCTGTTTCCACATCGGGAAAATTTAGCCTTATCTCTATTTGGTGTTTGATAGCATTTTATGCTCTGTCGTTACAGTCAGCTAGATTCAAATGATCTGAGCGGTCAAATTCCTGACAAATTATTCCAAATTGTCAAGTACAAGTAAGAAGAACATTCCAACTTATTATTATCTATTACTGACAATGTCTTCAAGTATGTTGTTCTGTTATCTTTCCCTCTCCCCTTCCCTCATTGTTCATCAGCATACTCTTTATTTAGTTTGTGTTTCTTGTTGTAGTTTCACAGGAAACCGCTTAAACTGTGGCGTAGATTTCGGTCACCCTTGTGCAACTGATATTGACGATTCAGGTCATACTGGATTCATTTAGTTCTCTGCGAATTTCAATTACCCAATTTCCCTATATTCTGCTATATCTATTCTGCTATATCTGCTAATATCTGTTGACTCTTGACAGGGAGCTCACATAAGCCAAGTGTTGGAACAATAGTTGGAATTATTGGAGGACTGGTTTTCATTCTCTGCATTGGACTCGTTGTCTATTTTCTTTGCAAGAATAGACGAAAAGGCTACAAGCGGGAAGTTTTTGTTGATGTGGCTGGTCTGTGCTACTTTCCTATGGTTTAACAGATAAATTGCCTTGTCTTATGTTAAATTTTCATTTGTTATCTTAATAGTGTAAATATATTCATATTGTTTCCACGTGCTGAAGATTAAGGCTTCGTTCATTTCACCGATTCGAGTTTTCAGTTTTAGGTTTCTACAGTAAGCTCTCAGAAAATGTCACATCTAACTTTTCCTGCTACAGTGAAAAGCTCTTAGAAAATGTCACATCTCAGCTCGAATTGAAAAAGATCATAATTTGCATTTGTTACACATGCAGTTTGGCTCTTTTGAAATATTCTTTTTAAACATTCTTAAATTTGGGCTCAGGTGAAGTTGACCGAAGAATAGCATTTGGTCAATTGAAAAGATTTGCATGGAGGGAATTGCAGCTAGCCACAGACAACTTTAGCGAAAAAAATGTCCTTGGCCAGGGAGGTTTTGGGAAGGTATATAAAGGGGTGCTGTCTGATAACACGAAAGTTGCTGTTAAACGGTTGACTGATTATGAAAGCCCCGGAGGAGATGCAGCTTTCCAGCGTGAAGTTGAGATGATTAGTGTGGCAGTCCACAGGAATCTATTACGACTTATTGGATTTTGCACAACCCCGACAGAACGCCTTTTGGTGTATCCTTTTATGCAGAACTTAAGTGTTGCCTATCAATTACGAGGTATTGCTTCTAAGTCATAAATATTCAGAGTTGCAGATGTATATCTATTATCTATAGTTCTATATTGCCTTTTTTATTTGTTACCTAATTCTAAGTATTAATGCAGAGATAAAAGAGCCAGTTTTGGATTGGCCCACTAGAAAACGAGTTGCTTTGGGCACAGCCCGTGGTTTGGAGTATTTGCATGAACATTGCAATCCTAAGATCATTCATCGGGATGTTAAGGCTGCTAATGTATTACTTGATGAAGACTATGAAGCAGTTGTCGGAGACTTTGGCTTGGCAAAGTTGGTGGATGCTAGAAAGACTAATGTGACAACTCAAGTCCGTGGGACAATGGGCCACATAGCACCTGAATACTTGTCCACCGGGAAGTCATCAGAAAGAACCGATGTTTTTGGGTATGGAATAATGCTCTTAGAGATCGTCACAGGTCAACGAGCTATTGACTTTTCACGCTTGGAAGAAGAAGACGATGTTTTATTGCTTGACCATGTAAGATATACTTGTTTAGATGCTTGTGCAGGTCTTTCGACTTTAAACTTGTCACGCTGTGCTCTTTATTTATTTATTTTTTCCTTCTGCAGGTGAAAAAGTTAGAAAGGGAGAAAAGACTGAATGCTATTGTGGATCGCAATCTGAATAATAATTACGACCTCCAAGAGGTCGAGATGATGATCCAAGTCGCATTGCTTTGTACGCAGCAACAGCCGGAGGATCGCCCAGCCATGTCAGAGGTGGTGCGGATGCTTGAAGGAGAGGGGCTGGCTGAGAGATGGGAAGAGTGGCAGAGTGTCGAGGTCACTCGTAGGCAAGAGTATGAGAGACTACAGAGAAGATTCGACTGGGGTGAAGATTCCATTTATAACCAGGATGCTATTGAGTTGTCTGGTGGACGATGATGTAATATTTTAATGCATTGTGGCCATCCCCTCTTTTCAAGTCACAAGAATATGTAATATTCTTTTTGGTAGGTTTAGCTTGGTGCTCACTAAATGAAGCATGCCAGTATTTCCTGTTTGCTAAATCCAGGCCTCTATATTTCGGTTTCAGGTCTTGGTGTTTTTCTGGCACATTCTCCATTTTTTGTTGTCGTTTTTAGCATTTCAAACTGTATATCTCTTCTGAGTACATTCTGCAAGTGTGCAAGCTTTAAGAATACAAAACCTCACTTTGTATGATTTCAATGGACACACGTGGGGAAATGCAAAAATGATACTCAGAACACACTTATCTTTACATTTATGTAACTAAATGTTGTAAACTTTTTATTCTACGCCACTCAATTCATCACAAAATATCTTTAGTAGATATCTTTATCAGATTACTTTTATTCTACGCCACTCAATTCATCACAAAATATCCTGTTTCGGTGTTTGAAGAGTATTCTGGTAAAATATGAAAATAAAAAAAGATTATTTTTCTTCTTTATAAAAAAGAGGAGACATCTCCTGTTTCGGTGTTTGAAGAGTATTCTGGTAGAATATGAAAATCAACAAAGATAATAACAGACGAGATGATATATATATATATATATATATCTATACTATTAGATTTCGGAGGCATGTTAGGATAATTTTCTTTCAATTTTTAAGCAAAGGGGATAAACGTTCTCAAATGAGTGCGTAATTTTATCCTGTGATCTCATCTTCTCCACATCATGGCCCCACTTTGTATTTTCTCTTATCCTTCATTTATTCCCTACTAATACTATAGTATGTTCTGGGAAAATATGAATACCGTGATGAAACGTTTCACACAGAATATGATGGTGACTATTGACAAATGTCTTTAATTTATCTGCTTTTGTGAAAGCTTCGAATACGTCATACGTGAGACGCGTGAATTTTTTTTTTTTTTTTTTTTTTTTTTTTTTTTTTTTTTTTTTTTTGGCTGAACGTGACACACATGTGATGTGATGTCTTTTTTTGGCCGGAACATGTGAATATGATTTGTACGCTTCTTTATAGGCTCTTTTTTGTAAATTAATCTCAAAATGATGCTTTTAAAGGTGTGCTCATAGAAACTACTTTAAATTAGGACCAATGTAACCATTTGCACAGAAAGCTTCTTGTGAATCAGATTTGTTCTGTTCTTGCTGTTTGGAAAATCAACCATAACTTGACCTTCTTGTTTAATTAAATAAGACCAATGAAAAATTAATTCCATCCAGACCCAACTTAGTACAAAGGAAGACATCATGAGTTTTAAACGCAGGATTTATAAACTACCCTTAGAATCAAGTACAATAACTGGCCTTCTTAACTTATCGTTTTTTTTTTGTTCGTCCTATTTTTAGATTTTCTTTTATTTCCACTATAAATCCATCTCTTTAAACATAACAGATTCAAATAATTTGAATTTAAATATATAAAACAAAGGGCACTGAAATTTGTAAATGCCAAGCTTTAATGGAATTAATGTTTGAGCATGTTGCTCAGAACTAAGAATAATAATAATAAAAAAAATCAACATTTTGAAGCCATATTTTTTTGGCACTATTGAAAGAGGAAAATATGTTTTTTTTTTCCCTATCTAGTAGAAATATCAGTACGGAACCTAGATTTTATTAAACTTGCGACGAAAAATATCAATGTAGAAATTGCTAGGCATATCTCCATGTGCAGTAAGTATTTGAGCATGTTGCTGGGAATGAAGAATGAAAAAGTATATTGAATTTATATCTGAATTTGGTATTTACTTTTATTTCTTCAATCTTGTAAGGGGATAAAATCAAATTTTTAACTTTTTCGGGGACTAAATATATATATATATATATATTTCCCTTAAGACCTTGATGATTACTAATGAATACAAATATTTCATCTCTATTATTCTAAATTCTCTCTAAATTCTTCAACTTCTTCTACTTCTATTTCTCTCTTTCTTTAATCAATCTTAAGTATGATAGCATAAAGTTAACATGAGGAGAAAATTTGTGACACTTATTAAAATTTAGAAAGCATATTATTATAAGTTTCAAAATTAAGGTGGGAAGATTTAAAATTTGTACTAACATAAGCTGAAGTGGCTTAAGTGTTACTTATTTACACAAGCAAAAAGCAGAATATGCTTAATGATCAGAATCTGCGACTTCTAACCGTCGGATGAGATAACTGTTCATCCAACGACGATGATGCGATCCAACGACGAGGAAAGGAGTGAGAAATTGAAAAGGCGTGATGCAATGGCCCAGGTTTGTCCGTTTAAAACAGAGGATGGCGTCAGCAGAGTGATTGGATCGACGCGACTGCTAAGCTACCTAAGGGGTCTCTTTGGCGTCAGATCCATCATTACAAATGAGGTTTGGAGTTAGGTTCCTTTGCCCAAAGCAAACCAAATACAAGGGTAAGTCCCATCATAATTAAAGCTCGAGCCAGTTCGAAGGAAAACCTCGACCTGGGGGCAGCTGTTACAAGGGAAAATCTACCTTGCAACGTTAGACGACAAATAGGCTCCACATGGCCAAAACGTGAGGACATTTATGGGTCCACATGGCCTGTAGAAGGCGCCGACGGTCGAAGCATATGCTTTTCAGACTTTGGAGTTCAGCTGTTTCAAAGGGTCCGCGATGGCAGTCGACTGTTCAAATGACCAAGACGAAGATGACTCCAAAACCCTCATAGGCCGTCGATCCTATGTGAGGATCGACGGGGACGAACGCTCTGTCTGGGCTTGCTATCCAGGCCAAGTGAAAGTGGAGAGGGTAACGCGATAAGTCATCTGGTCTAGATTTCGAGACGACCTCCTGAAGCAACAAGAGAGAGAAATCCCCAGGTTATGTGTGTGCATAAACAAAGCCATTGGCTAGATAAATGATTACTAACCAGTTGGTCGCTCAAAATAGACTAATAGGAAATCACGGGAAAGCCACATAGCCGTAATTTTGGACAGAATAGGTAGATGAATAGTTAGAAAAGCACTGTAGAGCTGCAGTCTAGATGAGTAGGATAATAGGCTATGTAATATAAAAGGTGCCTAGCATAAGAGAAAGAGAGAGAGACTGGTACGAACATAAGAGAGAGTCAAGCTTCTTGTAATCAAAAAGAAAAAAAAGAAGGAAAAGAGGGGGGAATTTCTCAAAGTGGATGTAGCTTTTGCATTGATAGTGAACTGCTATAAATCTTGGTGTTCTTATCGTTTCTTTTAGTTTCTTTCATATTTTGAAAAACCTTTAAGCGAAATTTACAAAACACATGCACAAACCATAACACTCTATCAATCGGATTTAATCGGATATAAAGCCGTTATTCTCACGTATTCAACCGGTAATCCAACCTATTACGAGACGGTAATCAAGTGTATTTCTATTGACGAAATTCCACCATCAACACATTCCAAACTAAATTGATTCCAAACTAAATTGATACCTACTAAACACTCCATCTCATACCACGCCTCTTACTTAAGTATTATTAAACTAAAAGAAAACAAATACAAAATATTATAGGAGTAAAAAAAAAAAAAAGAAAAAGAAAGAAGAGGGAAAAAAATGTAGAAGAGAAAATGAGTACACTATCATCCAAAGCATCGTTCGAACCCCCAAAAATAAAACTCCATTCATAGCACATCCTAGCAATGAAAAACAAAACTACCAACAAGCGAACACGAGAATTTAAAAAAAAAATTTGTGATCCAAGCTCCTGAAGAAAGCAAACTTGTCAGCAAACTTGATTAGCTTTTCAAAAAAAATAAAAGAAATGTGAGCCATGATCAGAGAAGCTTTAAGGGAGATTCTCTGATACGCATGGTGTACCAATATGTCAGGTTTTCTAACCATTAAATATGCGTATTTTTTTAATTTTTTTATGATTTTATACAGATATGACAGACATAAAACTTGACCTATCGGTATATTAACGTACCGTAAAAGGTCCCTAATAAAAAAAAACAAAAAGAAGCTTGTAAAGTGTCGAGAGAAAAAATAGATGGTAAAAGTGAACCAGGGAAAAAAAAAACTGAAATAACTTCAAAAAGAAAACAAAAAAGAAGAGAAAAAAAGAGAAAGAAAGAGAAATGATATCAAAGAAGCCTACAAATAATTATTGTACCAAATCTAGAGACTCGACGCAATATATTAAGTAGCATACAATTATCTGGTGCAATCTGTGTGTCATGTGTAGCCCATAAATATACACACAACACTTTCTACGTGGAGGTTGATTTTATGTGTTATTAAAATGTTGGAGCATAGGTTAGAAATTTTCATAAATACACACAATAAAAACGGAAACCACAAATCATACCTCCAATCATAGGAATTAGATTTAAAACCTCATGATCAAGAACAATCCATGGTTGTCTAAAGAAGAAAACAGAAAATTAGAATAATCTTTGTCTAGTATATTCAACAGTTGATATTTATATAACGATAGAATTCTCAGCCTAAAATCTTTTAAGTATATGTTCTCTATGTCTTCTTCCCCTTCATAGAAGATTACATATATACGAGCTTTATGGGCATTCATTTGCTATCAGTAACATACCAAAACATCAGGAAAAATCTGGTCTAGAGATATATGACTGATTATCAAATTAATGAGATAAATATGATACGCATAAAATTACTGTAAATTTACATGAAAATAATCTCCCAAAATAACCCGCATAATGGTAATAATAAGCCACAAAAATTATACATTTATTTGAGAAATCTTCCGAATTTTAACCCACAACTAACAAATATACATCAAAGCACATCTATATTAGTTGTTGAGCGAAAAAAAAGTACACACATATTATTTTAACTACACACGCAGAGAAACAACAGCCGAAATTAGCGAATATACATTTCTCTTCCTTTTTTGAGTGCATAAATAGTATTTAAGTATTATAGAGATTTCTCTTTGATCATGGAAGAAACAAGCTCATCTATATACAGGCAACGGGCTAATTTTCCCTTATATTTCCATCACCCACCATGTTTGTGCTTATGGTCATCTCCCTCTTTTCTTCAGCTTCACTGACAGAGTTTTGCTGATCGGCTAGCAGATAAAGAGGCGGCTGCGGCAGCTCATGTTCCCGATCACCGGGCTCCAAGTCTTCGGCATTGATGCGGCATTCTGAGCAATCCATGCCCGCCATCGCCAGAGCCTCAATCGACATTAATTCTTGAAGTGAAGAGTACTAATATCTGCACTTTTTGCAACAAAGTGTAGATGATTCCTGTTTATATATGCGAATTACCAATA